CACGTTCTTTATCGTCCGCTTCAGGAGCTTTGCTATGCTACTCTCGATCCGACACTGCGGGCTACCTGGAGGCGCGGAAGAAGGCTACCCAAACCCTAGCTCGACACCTTTCATCAAGACATGGAAGGGGTTCTTTGACCTTCGGTCTCCGTCGATGGAGCTGAGAATGCGTGGAGCTTTCCACTGCTGCTGCCGCTAATCCTAACGCGTTGAGCGGTACCCTCCGTGAAATCATTGAGGTCGGCTAGATCGGGCATGATCACAGCCGTATGAAGTACATGTACTGGCATAGACTGAGTGGTCATATAAATCTGTGTACCGTAAACGAAAATGGTGAAATGCCTTTCTACGTACAGCTTCATGTCCGACCTAGCATAGCTTTGCGCCTCACATCACCGAAGTGAGAAGGGAAATCGAGACTGCTGTTGTGCAAATTCTCCTGGCTTTACTTTAAGTTCACGCCCTAGGTGCACTGCTGTCGCATCAAAACCTCGACTCGAAACAAAATTTCTTGAGTTATTCTGAATTCTATTTAGTTGATCAGCAGATCGCATTTGTCTATTGCTTGCGTGGAACCGAGTGAAATTGTGACGCTCTAGATCAAGCTGTCCGGTCTTTTGGCTTGCCTGCTGGTTTAGGCAAGAATTCTTCATTGTCTGGACAAGGATATGACCCACTATATCGCAACATTGTTGGTTTTTGAGAACGGTTTACTCTTCGCGGGTCCATCCAATCCTACCACAACTGTAGCACAGTCCTGGCAGTAGTCGCAATGGAAAAACTCGTTTCTTACTGCCGTCCCTCTGCGCTGCGATTTAGGTTTAGAGTAAGCGATCCTTCTCCATTTTCAGTGAAAATTATGATTATTGTCAGGTGCAGTATCGTGCTATCGCCGGGCATATAAACTTATGTGCATTTCAAGAGCCCGGACTATAAGAAGGTAGGCAGGTAGAATTGCCGGCAAAGACCAGGGAGACTGGAATGACCATTTTTTGGCTTATTAGCCGTCGATAGCCAGCCATACCCAGACTCAATTTATGCACCATCCAGGGCTCGAACTTGCGACCTTTTTTTATCAGAGTCAAACCCCCTAATCATAGGTGTCAGGGGCCAACTCAATGGCGTGTGCAAACAGCCCTCACGAAGAGTTGCCACGGCAACCGACCTGTACGCTCAGTCACAATGCGCTCGATAACGTCACGCAGGTGCGGCCGGCGCAGGA